ACCTCTCATCAGTCAAACTGTCCCGAACCCGGATTTGACCACTGCGGTCGGGGACCGGCTCACCCACCAGTTTTTGGCCTAGGGCGTTGGCTGCCCCACCCAGATTTTTGAACGTGGGACCCAGTCTAACCACAGTTCCAGGCTCTGGCGAACCTCACTGGATTGCATCCTCTGACTGTTGTAGGGTTCCAACCAACCCCTTTCGACCTCATAGGTCTGACCCCCGGAGTCTTAGCCTCAGTCGATTACGGAATTCGACACTCGTGTCGGGGACCTGCTGACCCCACCAGATTGCAACCTACTGCGGTAAGGATCTGTCTGGCCCCGACAATCAATGCATCTTTAGGTTAGAGAAGAAGATCCCAGACACAGACAATCAGGCAAGCATACTATAACCCACAAGCCGACTGCCAATGCCCCATAACAGGACAAACGTTTCTCAAGAGACGTCCCTTCAGTCTCAAGAGGCACTGAACAGGAACATGATAATCAGCACCAAGCCCCTGCAGGAGACCTCCCTTCAGTCTCGAGATGATGCTTAGTGTTGGCCCCAGAGAGGTCCCTTCCCTCAGCTGGGAATTTCTTTTCCAAGAGACGTCCTGTCAGTCCCAAGGAAATACTCAAATGCGGATCTCAGAGAGGTCTCTTCCCTCATCTGAGTGAAGACAGGCAACTTAGTCAAGAAACACGAAGCCCCTTTATTGACAACTCTTTGTCAAGTAAAACTGAGCTTCTTTATGCCTGTCGTCATTTGAATTTCTTGGATGGACAACTTAGTCAAGAGACACGAAGTTTTTCTGCTGACAACTCTTAATCAGACAGAACTGAGCTTCTTTATGCCCATTATGCTTTTCTCTTTATCATAAGAATAATATTAATTACATATTCTGATGCGCCACTGCCATGAGTTCCTCAGATCTTTTGACACTGCGTCAATGCTCACGAAAACTGTGTCTCACAGTTATTCCCGATTTTTAGGGGTTTGACACTCATGGACCGACTGTAGCACTATATCAAGGATATTGTCTTATTACCTCCAGTCGCTTACTGAAACAGAAAATTATTTGACATGCTGAAAAATTGAAATGCTGAATTGACCATGCAAAAACGATCACAGTGCCGAAAATTCAGTCTTGTTGTTCTCATTGTCTTACTGTACTTTTATCTCAGTTCTCTGAAACTGTTCTCTCACTTGGATGGCTGACCTTTCTTCCCTCTCTTTGAGGTCACTGTAGGGATCAGATCAGGGTCTCTGAAGATGAACTTACGAAGTCTTGACCCTGATACCATGTCATGAACCCTGGATCCATCCATTTCTGATATCTCATAAACTTTGCCTTCTGCTTCTCCTGTGATTCTGTAAGGACAAAGCCATCTAGGCTCCAATCGTTTAGTCCACCGAGTCTCAAGAGAACTGTCAAATAGAAGAACAACGTCACCAACTTTCAATTTCTCATTTCTTATATATTTTTTCTTGTTCCATCTCTCTTGATCTGATAACCTGCTGGATGTCATTCTCTCTGCAGCATCCATAACTGCTTGATCAACCTCTGATATTTGCCTCATTATAACCTGGAGGAGCTCTGAAATAAAATAATCTCTGTCACTCTCTTGACTTGACCATGTCTTGACAATATTCTCAATAGGCAAGGTAGCATATCGACCATACCACAGGGTAAATGGAGCATAGCCAGTAGTCCTCTTGACTGTTATATTGTCAGCATAGACAACAACTCTTAATACTTTTGGCCAATTACTGAGATTTCCTTCACACCACTTAGCCAATGAATCTTTCAAGGTCCTGTAACCTCTCTCAACTGGCGCATTCGCTTGAGGATGCTAAGTAGTCACATATCGAATTCTGACACCCAATCTGACAGTGGTTCTTCTTACAATCCCATTTCTGAACTCTGATCCTCTGTCTGAGATAAACTCTCTGATAAAAGGATACATGAGATAAACTTCCTCTATCCAATCAACCACTTTTTCGGTTGTCTTCCTTTTCAGAGTTTTTGCCTCAACGTATCTAGAGAAATTATCTCTCATGTTCAGTATATATCTCATCCTGCCCTTGCCTAACGGCATAACGATGAGATCTAAATGAACTCGACTTCCTGGCCCCACCAGAATAGTGGGGAATAAAGGTTCAATCATTCTTGTAGTAGACCTCTTCTAACATAACACAAATGATTTACAAAATCTGAAAATCATGTCTCTCATGGTAGGCCAGAAGTAGAGTTTGACAGTCTTAGAGTAGGTTGCATGAGCAGCTCTGTGGCCACCTGCAGCCTCCTCATGTAGAGCAGCAATTATATCTAATTGTCTCTCTTTACCACAGACCACTCTTAGTGGAGGTAGTCCTCCCTTACCATCCACAAAGAAATGTCCTCTTTTTAACCTGAACTTCTTCCTTGAATTTTTACAATAATATTCCTTTAGCTGTTCTTTTTCCATCCTCTTGCCAATCTCTTGATAACTTTCAGCGTATTCTTCAGAAGTGAAAAATATCTCTTCCTCCTTCTTTTCACCTTCTTCTTCTTCTTTTAAACCAGAGTTTTCCCTCATTTCATGACCAGCCACAGCCGTTGCATTAACTCTAGCATACCAATCATTTGGCTCATCCTCTTCTTCTTTCCCAAGAATCGACTCATAAACATAGGCATTAGGGATCTCTCCCAGTTGTCTCTCTCTTCAGGCCACAAACTCCACTTATAAGAGCGTGGTACTTCATAATCTTCATCATCCTTTTCATTCAAAAAATTATCAACATAGGTTGATTCTTCAATCGTCCCGTTTACATCTTCTTCTTCATCTTTTCTCCACTCAATCCTGCTCAGGCCATCTGCTATCAAGGCAATCCACCTGTTGACTGTTAGATCTACTTGTTGGTGCTTCTTAATAACACCAACCACAGCAGATGCATCAGTCCTCAAGATGAATCTCCTCCCTAGTACATAGTGCCTGAAGCACCTGAGGCTATGGACGATTGCCAGCAGCTCTTTTCTGAATTGGGTGTAACCTCTTACTGTAGAGTTAAGAGTCCTGCTCTCAATCTCAGAGGTCTCTCTTTCCCATTTTCATCTTTCTGAATGAGCACACCACCCAGAGCAATTGGTCCTCCATCGGCCTCAATGATGAAAGGTCTCCCTTCCTCATCATCATAAAAAGATACTCCCAGCACTACACCCCCATCTTTTAATTTATCCTGTAGAGTTTCTGCAGCGAATTGTCTTTTTTCATTTCATGCCAAATTAGCCCCTTGCCTTACCATCTCCCTCAGAGGCTCTGCACGGGTAGCAAAATGAGGAATAAAAATCCTTCAGAATCCACAAACACCCAAAAAGTTTCTGACGTCTGTCACTCTCTTGAGTGGCAGAGGCCAGTTTAAGATCTTGTTTATCTTTTTGGGGTCAGGACTCCTACCCTTGGAGAAACATCTGAAACCCAAGATGATTACTTATGGTTGAAAGAGAAGGGACTTTGGTCCACTGGCAGTCAGGTTATATTTTTGAAGTCTCTATAGGACCATTTTTACTCCTTCAGCGTGTTCCCAGACAATCTTTCTGACTCCACCTGCGACCAAAGTATCATCCCTTACTAGGGGTCCTTTCACGGGATTGTCATCAATATAGGGACAGGTTATTTCAGAATAAATATCTTGCATGACTTGGATCATATCCCTTTGAACCATTGCCACACCATGAGGTACCACACACATCTTAATGAACCCTTTTGGCGTGTGCATGGCAGTCATTGGCCGGTTAGTGGGATCAATGGGAAACTGGTCATAGCCATAGTATAAATCAACTAAGGAATAAATGCATCGACCAGCAAAAGATTCAGAGAGGAAATCAGCATTAGGAAGACTACCTGCATCACGTACCGTCACAGAGTTAAACTTCTGAAGATTCTATATTCATCTCAATCCACCCCCTGCTTTCCAAAAACAAAACCAGTGGTTAGCATACGGTCCATCAGTAGGTTCAACAACGTTAGAAACAATTCTTATCAAGATATTTTACAAACTCGGTTTTTTTTTTCAGGGCATACTTGGTCGGCCTATCATTCCATGAAACATGATTAACTATCCAAATTTTGGCCATCTTGATCATATCCACGCCCTCTCTCTTCATAATTAAAGGAGAATGCACCAGAGAATTCCTGACACATTTTGAAGATATATTCTTTCTCTTTAGGCAGGATAAACTGATCCGAGTCTATCTTCATTGTGTTAAATCTGTCTTTGGTGACCCTATTCCCCAATTTTGCAGATTCTCATAATGCTTTAATAATTTTCCTCTCTTTTTTCAATGCTTCATCATAATCCTTTTCTATTAGGACTGCCACTGGGTTTTTCTTCAACCCCTTGGGCTTGTATTTTCTCTTTGACCCAGTGACTATTTTTCTGAAAAAGGATGAGTCGATGCAAATTTAAGTTTCATCCTCCCTCCCTTAGCAGTCTCTACAACTTTCTAAAATGCTTCAATTTGTCCGTCTTCATCTTTGAGATTACCAAGGGTTTTTATCATTTTCAAGACTTGATTAGTACCCATTGAAATTTTTTCTTTAACCTCTTGTTTGCCTTCTTCTCTTAGTCTCCTAATCCTTTCAGTAGACTCTTCTTTTCTGATTGAATTAACTGACAATCGATGCTTGAAATCATTTTTAGTGCACACCATAAAGGTTTGTTCCTGAGCAGTCTCCGGATCTTGTAGGCCGATCGAGGATGACCCCTCGACCTGAAAAATTGGACTGCCTCCATTTTGTGCATGAATGGAGTGCTTAAGATACAATCGTGGTCCGGTTCAGGCACTACAAAACCCAGTAATTCAACTGACATAGTCCCAACTCTGATAGGCAAATTGTCAATAAATCCAGCCACAAAAAGTTATCATGCAATATTACTCAGTATGTTTTGTGCAGGTCTATCAATAGGCAAGTCACAAGCCTCCATTGTTCTCCGAGAAAGAAGTATCATCTCAGCCCCAGAGTCCACTAAGGCTCGAATCTTCACTTGATTAACATAAATGGTCAGGTGCCCACATCCCATGGTTGCGAATCTCATCTTGCAACCTGGCAGTGATCTGTTCACCTGACTGGGAAAAATTGATCCCAAATAGTTAACTTATAATTTCTTCTTCTCAATCAACTTCTTTAGTTCTTCTCTCTGCTTAGGTGCTAGAGTCATTGGTTCCTTGAAGGACAGGGTCACTTCTGTCTCTTCCAACATTTTAGTAATCATGTCAGTAATCACAGTCTCGTCTTCCAAATCATTCTTGATAATAAATTTCCTCTTCCTTCCTTGCTCATTCTTCCTATGCGGAAGTTCTGGCTCTAGATCGTCAAGAATATTAATCAGAGACTCCTCAACTTTCCTTATTTTCTTTTCCTCTATCATTTGGGGCGTCAAGCGTGCTTGAAGGTTTCTCACTTCACCAAGCACAACACTAGGTTCCATGAGAAGTTCTGGAGGTAGGTCACCGTCAAATGACATCATGTTGACCAGAAAGCGAGTCGTTTCATTAGAAGAAAATTCTACTGATTCTGAAGGGTTCTGAGAAGTAAAATTCCCCTCTAATGAAGACGCACTTGCAAAAGCCTCATCAGACGCATCCTCTGTCAATGTTAAGGATTGCAGAGACAACTCGATCGTGGTATGAGGGTCACTTGTTTCCTGCACAAGCTCATTAGGCAATTCATCAATAAGAAAATGAATATTCACATTAACCTTTCTCTTATTCTTCTTCTTCTTCATCTTTTCATCATGTTTAAGAGCAAGAAGTATCATACCTCCTGGATGCCTGGGATCCAACTTGTTCCATGAGTTATCACAGACGTGGCCCATAACATCCTTCTTTGCCACCCCACTCTTCACATCCTCCTCAAGAGGCCTGCAATAAGTGGTAGTATGACCTATTTCACCACAATAATAGCAAACAAAACTCTTCTTAGGATGATCATCATATTTTCTTCTTTCTCTGGTTCCTCTGTCACCATTCCCTCCATTCTTTCTAGATCTAGACAAATCTCCCTTCTTGTCATAATCCTCATCATCATCATCCTCTTCCTCTTCACTTTCAGCCTTCTTCTTCCCTCTTTCATCCACAACATGGTTTGCAGGCATATAGTTGGCCATCACTCCTTGAATAATATTTTCAGCACTCAGATTGTTCCCTCTGTTCATACCATTCTTAGTCTCCCAGTCCTTGGCCAATGTATTGATCTGATTCAGTGACCATTTCTTATGAGAAACTGTAGGTAGAGTTCTAACAATTGCAATCATCGCATCCCATCAGAGAGGATAATGGTGAGCCTGATTGAGAACTGCCTGCCTTTCAGTGTCAGTAAAATTTGTCAAAAACATATGGCATCTCTGAGCTTCGTCCAAATATGAGATTCTCCTTCTGTTCGGATGAAGGTCTGAAGAAAAACATTGAAAGTGTCATACTTAGCTCTTCAGATGTTGAGTAAATCCTTGGTTGTAGTTGGAACCGAGTCTTTCTCAAATTTCTTTTTCATTCTCTCTTTGACCTCTTCCCATGTAGTGGCCCCTTCCATCAACTCCTGAACAACCAACCTCGAGTTAGTGCCACAGTAAGATAGAAGGTGCTTAAGTCGTTGATTGTATGTCCAGCCATAACTAAGCCCAAAGAATTCATACTCGTCCAGAAAATCATTTACTTTAGGTCCTCTGAAACAGGGAATTCTCTCATCTGGTCTCTTTGCTCTTGCGATATCTGATCCTCCTTTGATTGTGTCGACTCTCTCGACCAATTCCCGTATAACCCCAACCAAGGCCTCTTCATTGGTCCCTGCAGATTAGTTAGGTCTCGAACGATCAGCCATCTTGACCATAGATTTTTCCCGGATACTTTCTTCTCTCTTTCTGTCACTTTTGTTCTTTTTTTTTTTTTTTTTCAATCTTTCACCATTCTCGGAAGGGATACAGGCTCGTTTCTCTCTTCTCTTGTTTGCTCTACCCCTTGAGAATTTTGTACATAAAGAGTATATGCAATAATAGACTGGATAGTGATCAAAGGCAAAGCAATCCTTCTCAGCCTTCCAATGTAATCTTCAATCAACTCTCTTTCATCATCCCTACTCAGTCTTTTATTATACTGTTTTACAGTACCCCCGAATCATAAAATATCGAGTCAAGTCTATAATCTTATAATCAAATTGCATGGCTTATGATCCGGTGTCAATCCTTCTAGCAAGAGAGACTCGTTCCCTATAAGACTGATAGGATATTCTTTCAGTAACTCCCACTTTCACTACCTTCAGTAGGTAGTTAATCTCAGTCTGGTCAGTAATAGCTCTCAGGGCAGAACCTCTCATCTGATCAAGAATAGGTTGCAAGAACTCAAGCTCATCCAAGGGAGAGAGGTTTGTGTTAGAGATCCGAAGAGTCTCTTCTATCTTGATTATTCTTCTTTCCAGTACAACCCCGAATGTTAACTGTTCAACCAAGCTGGGCATCGTTAACCATTATAGGAAACATCGAAAAAATAGATCTCAGGCTGGGCATAATCAGGGATTTCGAACCTGTGCTCAAAGGTACTCAAAAGTAAGGATTTTATCATCATAATAGAGTCTTTCTCCCTTGCTCTACCAATCTCAGCAATAGCCTCCAGTAGAAGCATCCAATCTCTTCTGTCTTCAAATCCCTCCGCAACTAAGAACTCAGGGAGCCTTTCAAATTATCTTATTCTCACTCCCCATGTTACTTTCCTTCTTAGCTTCTCCAACCACTTTTTTGTCCGCTCAAGATTGACATACGCCTCTTTCAAATACTCCAAGTAGTCAACTTCCTCCTCTAGACAGGTAAAAGAGTAAACCCTCACATCCAAACTGTCAGAGTTCAAAAATTTAACTACAGAAATATGAAATATTATATGTCATCTTCCACAAGTCTCATGTCTCAGGATGATAAAAGGATTATCATACCTTGTCATCTCATAAAGTTTGTCCCTAACAGTAGTTATCCTGGCTACTGAGAGTATCTTTCTTGGACTCTCTTCACTTTCCATGCAAATTTTATCATGGCAAACCAATTGTCTCTCGATGGATTGACATTAGGTAAGGGAGGAGCTGGGAGTCCCTCAAAGATAGTAAATCGAGTTGACCCAATAAAACATTTATTTTCCCTCTCAAGTCTCTCTTTCTCTTTCAATACAACCTCTTCAGCAAATCCCAGCATCTCCCAGATCGCTCCTGCTCCCATCCACTCTCTACCATCTCATGCTTGACAACCTCATATGGGAACACTTCTTTCTTACTTAGTGCATTCAACGATTGTACGAGTCTTTCAACCCTTTCATTGCTCGACCCTGAACCTCTGCCAAATTTTGACCTTCATTGTTCGATTTCTTCTGCTGAGATCTCCCTCGTTCTCATGACAATACACCTATTTTTCCCACTTCAGTACCATGTTGATGATTGGTAACCAGTTAGTCCCATCACACTAGTTGTCAGGTATAGGAGGGATCGGAACAGTCTATTATGTTACTGGCATTACACCTCATTCCACTCTCTTCATTTGCTTGATTAGGTCTGCTTTCTCATCATAAAGAGATTGGATCGCAATGCCCCATAGCTAGTTAAAGGTCTCCCCTTCGTCACAGTCTGCCTTCTTGACATAAGGACAGATATCATAGATATCTCCCTCCAAGAAGCGAGCCAGCACTACGCTGATGGCCGAATTGCCAGAACGGTAGACCCAACAATGCTCATATTGATAGGGGAATATCCCTTTTGTAGTCACTTTCGAGAGTTCTTTCAATGCATCAGAAGTTAGCATTCTTGATGAAGTCTCCAAGCTCTTGATGTTCCAAGGACATCATAGGCTCATGAGGCATACCTGAGATCAAGCCTCATTCTCTCCTGACAGTAATATCAATCTCCTTCTCCAGTCCAACGTGGTTCCTCACACAAGGAAAAATAAGACTCAGTTAGTAACTAGGCTTTCTTAAGAGAGTAATGACTCAAGAAAAAACTGCAAAATAAGTCTGGAAAATTCAGAAATTGTCAACAGTTCTCAAGGCCTAATCAAAGCTCAAAGCTGCTTGGTGACCCAGACTCGTTCCGGACACGAAAGTTTTTCATGTCCCCGACAACGGCGTCATTTTTGTCGCACTTTTTTCATCCGGGCCTCTTCTGGCGACCGAAAAGCCAACAGGCTGTCACACAGGATTTTATATGGTGCTTGCAATAAATAAAATAAATAAATTAAAGCAAATCCCTTCCTGTTGTGTGCGCCCGGCTTCGAGCGAGACCCTTCAATTGCGGTCTTCGCCAGTCCCCGGTCTTAGGAATCTTTTATTTTGACTCATGCAGTTAATAATCACAAAGTTATGATGTGTCATGCATGCATCAATTTTCCAGTTTACTGATTTTGAGAACTGTGACAGAATCATCCACAAATGCAATCATCAAGCAAGAACAATGCAAAAAGCAAGACCGACTGACTCACGCAATGACAAAAACAAAGTCAGATGAGGGAAGAATGAGAACTCATAATAACCTCAGAAAGTACACATGTAGGGAACACGGCCAGCCCCAGTCAAGAGTCCTCACTCATCCCTCTAAATCTCATGCTCAGTTTCTCACTTTGTTGTGCGTTTCTTGTGCTTCGTGGAATGTCCCCGTACTTTCTGAGGTTGTGGTCTCTGTATATAGAGCCACCTATAGCCAGCGGGTTCCGAACTCTTCCATCCAAGTCCCATGATATGGAAATCAACCATGGCACAAAACTCCTCCCATAGTGTAGGAAGATACGGCTGAGAGAAAATCCCTCGTCTGAGATGTGGGAACTCTGAGGGCTTTGTCACTGCCTCGTAATCGATCACTGCAGGTGAAATGTACCTCTTTGCCAAATCTATCAGGTCGCCCCAACAAGAGCCTTTCGTAAGAGTGAAGGGTACTGGAAGCCTCGGATAGTCTGTATGGAGCTTTGGCCCGAAGCTGCAGATCAACTTAGTACCACTCCCATCAAGTTCCCTCTCTCTCTCTTCAAGGTATTTGGCTGCTGCTATCCAGACTGTGTCGAAGTACTCGCGAGTTTCCTTGCCCTTCTTTACATAGGATCTCAGGTCATGGGTAGTACAGCCTGTAAAATTGGTGAGAACGACATAGATTGTCATGTTGCCCTGCCTGAAGCCAGTGGCACTAACATATTTGTACTGGAAGGCATCCTTGGAGGAGATCTTGTTGAGACTGGCTAGGACAGTCTCTGGAACTGAGAGTGATTGTACCGTACTCATATGTCGTGACAGATACCCGAAACTGATTTCTAGGATGGGGTAAGAAAAGTAAATCTGTGTTGATCGTCTTTGACTGTAGATCTCGAGCTGTTTGAACTGAGGATAATCGGTTAGGCTTTGATTAAAAGTCTACTTGAGTACTGTTTGAATATTGGTTGGGTATTGCCTGAGTATTTGCGTGAGTATTGCCTGAGTATTGCATGAGTATTGTCTGAGTATTGCCTGAGTATTGCCTGAGTATTGAGTCACTGAATCGTGATTCCCCGTGTCATCACGCTGCAGGAGGAGGCTGCAATCTGTTGTTGTTCAAAGTTGATAGCGTTCTGAGGGTGGTGATTCGAGCACTGCAGAGCTCATACAAGGCTTGCCCTGGCCTGTTCCACCGTTTCTAGAGAGGAACTAGTACTGTGCAGCCTGTCGTCGAGCCCATAGAAATAAATTACGTACTCAATATATTTTTCCTCTTTTATTGTCCGGGCTGCATGTTCACACAGAGTCTCCCTATGAAATTTTATATCTTGGTAAGGTTCTTCCTCCCACCCCTTTCTCTTGTCCCTGTTCGATCTGATCTTCACCACCAAAAGCTCGTCCTCCCTCATGACTATTCCACGACCTATGTCACGAGGTTGCCAGACGACTCAGACAGCCCATACTGAAGGATGAAGAACACTCCTCGACCACGAGCGGTATTGAGTCGCTGATGAGTATTACTCATCTTCATATATATATATATATATATATATATATATATATAGATAGATAGATAGATAGATATCGTAGGACTTTACTTAGTCACGAAAACATGCCTGAGTGCTGCATAGGTAGTTCCCACTTTAATCTTTCATACATATATGCCCAGCAGATACCTTTAATCACAACATCTGCCCATCGATAGTTTTAAGTGTTGTCTGCTACCACTTAGAAACCCGTCTGGAACTCAATTGGTCCAGAAGGCATTTGCGGGTCTGATGGAAAAAACACTAATTTAAACGCCTACAAACAGTAAATCGCAGTGACTCTGATTAAAGGATCACTGCAAGATTCTCAGTCTGCCGAAAGCATCAAGTACCGTTGGCTATTACCTCTATCCATTTACAATGTAGAGCTTCTACGCTAATTTCCACGTGTCATGATACAACGTTAGTCCCCAAGAGTGATCATGACGGTATAACGATTACTAAAATGACCCATTCCTGTTAAAGTGTTAGAAGAAGAGCAACCGAAGGCAACTCACTTACGCACAGGACGGCCTTTCCCAGGACTGTTCGAATACAATTCAGTGCAACTGAAACATTACCCTAGCTGGTAGTGGTCCATGTAAAATCAAGCCTTCCTAAACAGGTGATAGCAATCAGAGGAGTCAGCCACAGATCAATTTTAATACCGTCCCTGTGACTGTCTTAAATAGTATTCAGACCCTTCTTTCAGAATGTCAATCGCCCAAGAGTAGGCCAGATTTAAAAAACTGTAATCGCACACGTGCAGTATCAGATACGCTGCAGTAAGAATTGTGGCATACAGTGCCATACACAGTTGTAAAAGTGCAGGCGGGATCGGCACTGAGATCTCTCACACAAAACATAATCACTCAGGGTACTTTGTCTAAGACAGCCCACACTCTATTCAATCACCCTGAATGCCATTGTCCAGATGCATGACCCCTCCTTATTCTGCATGTCATTACAATGCTCGTCCCTGATCACTCTTGTTATGAGGAGATCAAGACGCGGGACCTATCCGAGCTTCGTTAATTAGATCTGTCTGCAGGGTCACTTTGTGCTCAACGTTACATCCACAAACTTGAACGTTCCTACTCCAGACCGAATATACATTAAGATTTTCCATGGGAGAGATGCTTTTCATGACTAAATGGGTCGAGACCTCAAGCATACGACGTGTCTCCTAACCAGGTCAGTACGACAAAGCATCAAGCGTGACTGGCGCACATAGGTAAGTTATGGATCCTGGTCTCGTTGGCTCATGACATCTAGATCCAGTGAAGCGCTTCCCCAATCCCAAGCATAGCACATAGTTTCCCTCGTTCAGTTCCTTGAGCCTTCTCATCACCGCAAGATACCAAAAGGATTAACTTGCACTCAATCATATGCCAAGTAGAACAGAATCCTCTAATCACCATCAAACGAGAATTTAGCTAGGAGATAAGCAACCTTTTGCAGCATTTTCCTCTTTCCCATCAATTGGATAAGGTAACGTGGTTGAATATCAGCCCACTAACCCTCAGATCATGTCATCAAGATTGAGACTCTTGCTAACTCAGTTTACAGGCGGCTGGCAATCGCCTAACCATGTCAGGGCAGGTCCTTCTCACTGTCTTGACATGGACACAATAATTGAGCCAGTAACCTGTCCTGAGGGCTAGTTATAGGTTCACTAGCTCAATTACTCACTCCAGGTGGATCGCGAAAGTGCACATGGTTCAACAAGCGCCCCTTTTGTTTTAATGTTCCCAGGGGTACACATAGCAATAGAGAAGTAACAAAAGGACTGGCGCTTGCAGGGAGCCTCAATGGACGATGCCATAAAGTTAGAGTTCACGCATCACCCCAGGAGCTTCACTATGGCTCTGTAGACAAGTGTTACGATCCTGGCCAATTTCGAAGTATACATTCATCTGAAAGTACAATGCCATCCAATTGCAAAAAGAAATGAATGAACTTGAGAGGAAAGAGAGGAAAAGAAGAAGAAGAAGCAGTGCGAAAGAAGAAGATGATGATGTACTCCAGCATAGACCAATGTCAAGGCTCTTCTTCTTCGCCAACCAATCTCTTCCTCCTTATCTCCTCCCTCTTATTCAAATAAGAAATAACAATAATAATGTTGAATGACTGAACCAGAATCCATGTCCGAATCCCACTTCTACTGCAGGCACAACATGAGGTCCACCATAGCCATGGCCACCCTTCTTCTACCTCTACATACAAGCCGAGGCTATGGTGGATTGTTGAGGCTTCAGCCTCCTGTCCAAAGGACAACACAAAGCAGCTATGTCGCTGCCCTACTCCAAGGTCATCACCATGCAGCTATGCCGCTGCCCACTCAGCCACCATGCCTGACTCTGTCCCGAGCTTCCTTGATGCGGCACTACCCCCACTGGGGCCTTCCTGATGCAGCGCCTAGCAAGGAGATGAAGATGGTGTCTACCATAGCCAGTAAGTGCCTCGCCACTCTCCCCCTTGGTCCCCTTCTCCCTCCTCCTCCTCCCGGTAGAGCTCCACCATAGCCAAGGTGGAAGCTTCCGGCTTCTTCCTCCCAGCAGCGCTGAGGTACCCAGCGCTACTTCAGCCAGTGCTCCAGCAGTGTGTTGCCAAACTTGCACACTGAAGAATGAGGCTGGGCTCTCCGCCTTGCCTCTTGATATAGCGGCCTACTTGCCTCCTGGGCGGTGACTTCCAGGCCGCTCGGCCTCTCCAAGCAACCAGTACTTCCTCCGTTTCGGAGGGAAACATCATTGCAGACCCTGATATTACCCGTACAGGCTCTAGACTCAGACTGGTTGGACTGGTACCGACCTAGACCTACCCTACCGCTACTGGACTCTAAAATGCCAACTTTGTCTTTTTCTACTCGGCCTCCCGTACCCCTCACGCCAAGTGCAGTGGGGTGCAGTATCGGCCTACCGGCCTACTTGAGTGTTTTTCCGCTACCCCAAGGGCCGCGGGGCCGCTAGCTTTGCCACTTGAGTGTTTGCCTCCGCTACAACCCTCAATGCCACGGCCACAGGTAAGTACCGGCCCTACGGGCCTACCAAACAAGCAAGTACCCTTGCGGGTCACACACACACTCATACCGACAAGCACTCAGACAGGCACGCAGGTCACAAGCACGCACACACAGACAGACTTAGAAAACACAGCAAAATGCTGGAATCTCAGCAAGGCATCCATTCCATCGACAGAACTTCAGAAATCAGCAGTGTTCTCAGTCTGTGTTTTGACGGGTCATTACACTACCCCCCCCCTCAAGAGCAAGGTCCCTTCGAGCGAGTACTCAATCAGAGTCCTTGCACAATGCATCGTAGGCGTAGATAGCAGAGAGAGATCGGGTGTGTTCCGTAGGAGTGAGGGTAGCAGTGAATTTGGTTGCTGTTCCGAACTGATCAATCGTTCATAGGCGTTAACGACGCGCGGTGCACTCTGCAGTAAGTCCTTCTTAGCAATCCAGTAGAAATCATTCAGCGGATGGTATAGAAAATGTACTTTATACTGCCTATTTCTTCCCTTCCCACTGTGCTCGACAATCCTATCAACCTCGTGACCGCCATTGATTGCGCGAGGAATCATCGATTCCCGGTACTTGAACGTCTCAGGCGGCTCATACGGAAATAACTTTGATGTGTGAAAGACTGGGTATGTGCGCAGATCAGCAGGCACATCAATCGTGTAGGAAGGACCGAAGGAATCATTACCTACTCAGTTCAACACCTTCCAGGGACCGTAGTACTGAGGAAGAAGTTTCCGTGATACGCCGCCTTCTTCAGAAAACTCAGACATCTTGACCCAGACATAACTCCCCACGGTGAAGGGGTCAGGCTGACGCTTTTTGTTTGCATGCTTAATCATAGCAGTGCGTCGCCTTTTCATAGCTGCGACAATGACTTTAAGCAAACGATCGTACTTAGCACTGTAGCCTGGCTGGCCAGGTGTGAGGCCAGGTGGCTGTTCCGGGAACAGATAGGATAGGGGATTGCGAATTTTCCATCCGAGGTGCAGCCGGTTAGGCGTCATCCCGGTGGAAGAGTGGATGGAGTTGTTGTACAACCCCTACACAATCGACAACTCCTCATCCCAAGAGTTCTGGTCAGGCACGATAAGAGTCCTGAGAAGTTGGATCACGGTCTGATTGATCTCCTCGGCCAGTCCATTGGCTTCAGGGTGTCGACCAGACATCAGCTTGAGTTTCATGTCGTAGGTCTGGGAGGTGAAGTCTTTCCAATCTGCACTCATGAACCTGGTATCCCGATCGCTCACAAGAGTCTTCGGGGGACTGCACTGCAGAATGTACCTTTTGTTAAATTCTTCGATCACAAGGTCAGTTGGTGCATGAGGTGGTAATGGGATTAGATTCAGAAATTTGGAAAAACGATCGACGATCACCATTACTTGTGAATAGTCGTTTCTGCTCTTCTTTCCCATGTCCGTGAGGTCAATGGAAACCGACTCACCTGGACCATCAGGAATAGTGAGAGGGTGCAGCAGCCCGTAGGGCTTCTGTCGAGACGGCTTGACGCGCTGACAAACTTCATACTCCGCCACAAACCTTTATGTCATTCTTTTCATTCCAGGCCACACAAATTTTTCTAACAGATTCCCGTATGTCTTCTCAACACCGAAATGTCCACTCCGGCCATGAGCCAAATCCAAGAAATGAGTCATGATCGGCTTATGGTTGGGCACACACAATTGGTCATGCTTTCCATAACATCGGAAGAGAAGGCCCTTACATTCATGGAAATCAGGTTAACTGCTAGGGTCAACCCTAATCTGCTCAAGGATGGGACTGAGTTCCGAATCCTTGGCAGTATCCTCTATGAGTTCCTCCTTCATATTTTTACGCAGGTCATAGGAACCCACAAGGCAAGTCATGTACTCAGGGTGGCGCGACAAAGCATCCGCAACTCGATTATAACAACCTTTCTTGTGCTTAATCTCAAAATCATACACAACAATCTCATGCAGCCAGCGGGTCAGTGTCGTTGAGGGATTGTTTTGTGTCTGAACCCATTTCAAGGTCTCGTGGTCCGAAAACACTTTGAAATGGCGACCCAAGAGGTAGTGCTTCCAGTGGTCTAGTGCCTCTCTCAAGGCATAGAGTTCTCGCATGTAAGTGGAGGCAGCTACCTTRTGASTGGGCATACGTTTGCTGTAAAATTCTAGCRGWCRTARGYCGTCGCCGTCATCTYGTTGCAGCACTGCACCAATCCCATACAAACTGGCATCCGTAGTTACTACGAATGTGAGTTTGGGATCTGCAATGCGGAGCACCGGATGACTCACCAAAGCCTCCTTTAATGTTTGGAAGGCTGTCGTGCATTCCCCATCCCATGTGTAGGACACATTCTTGCTGGTCAATCTAAACAGCGGACGGGCGATGATAGAAAATTTTGGCACAAACTTACGGTAGTATGACGCAAGACCAAGAAAAGAATGCAACTCGCGGACATTCGCTGGTTGAGGCCAATTGCGGATGACCTCAACCTTGGTTGCCTCAGGCTCTAGACCTGCAGCAGACAACCGGTGCCCAAAGTAGATGACGCTATCCCTCCCAAACTCAGATTTCTCCAAGTTGAGATGGAGCTGCGCTTCCTTAAGGACCTGCAACACTTCCTCAAGATGTATCATGTGTTCCTCCATCGATTTGCTGAATATGAGTATGTCATTCAGATAAACAACAACAAACCGGTTAATCTGATGGCGGAACACTTTGTCCATGATACTTTGAAAGGTGGCTGGTGCATTCGTGAGGCCAAAGGGCATGACGGTAAACTCGTACAGCCCATCGCGAGTTTTGAATGCGGTTTTGTGCTTGTCTGCAGGATCGACTTCAATCTAGTGGTAGCCAGACTTGAGATCGATCTTGGTGAAGACTTTGCACCCACCTGCAGCATCAAGCAAATCATCGATACGTGGCAAAGGATATGCATTCTTTTTTGTGATCCGATTCAATCCGCGGTAACCAATACACATCCGCAATTTGCCTCCTTTCTTAGGGATAAACAGAACCGGTGCACCAAACTCAGACTCACTTGGTTTGATCCATCCCTTCCCAATCATATCATCAATATGTCGTCGCAACTCCTCCAATTCGCCTGAGCCCATTCGGTAGACACAACCTTTTGGAGGAGTGCTACCTTCAATCAACTCGATCTTGTGTCGGACCGGACGCACGGGAACTCCATGCGGTTCGGCCAAGACTTCAGGAAATCGATTGAGAATGTTGCGAATTTCCGGCGGAACTTTCGGAGGGGGGTCATTACTCTCAGGAGCAAGCGGATGTCATAAGTGCAGCCAACACAACAGGATTAGAAATAGAGTCATTTGGACTATAGATGGATTGAGTAGAGGTAGAGGTAGTTGCATCAGAAGTAGAAACAACATGCAAGGTAGAATTGTTATGTACAGCAAAAATAGAAGGCACATGAGCAGGCCTAACAAAGGCTATATACATATGCTCATCGACTTTGCGCCTGCACCACTTTTTGCAGAATTGCATTGCATTGAGAAAAGTTACTTAGGACTCGCGCGACTCATCCAAGAGGACTGGACGCTCGATTCCCATGGCATCTTTGACCATGAATTGTGAATCCTTCCACGTGGTTCTTTCACATTGGGCCTGCAACCAGCCCAAGCCAATAACCGCGTCGAAGGGGCACTGATCAATGACATAGAAGTTCAACTCATGCGTGATAGTGCGGTCAGCGTCAAAGGTAGTGCGCACACCTTTGACTGCATGCGTAGATGTGACAACCTCTTGGTTGCCCACTTGGGTCCGACAAGGATTCTGCAAGGTCACTTGCTTCATCCCCAAGCGTGCCTTACGAATGCCGTGCGGTGAGAAGTAGTTGGCGGTTGCACCACAGTCAGCCAAGGCACAGATGTAACATCCATTAATGTAGAGTTTGAAGAAGATTAACTTCGTTCTCCCTCGCGCGCGTTCTTGCTTCATATGAGCCCAGCGCGTCAACAGAGCATGGAAGTCAATTTCTCCCAACTCTACCCAAGGCTCCTTGTATAGGATGTGTATCTTTTCAGCCTTGGAATCAACATCAAATGGGGTTCCAGGAGAGGTTCGTTGCGTGGGATCAGAATCCAGAGAAGGATTTGTACTTACATGTTCAGCCTCTCCATCTGTAGAGTGTTCTGATGATGTCTCTACCCCCGTTGCTGGTTTCCCTGCTGCAATCTGAAACAATGTTGGACTGAATGTCCTGGTTTAGTGCAATGCAGGCAAACCCCTTTCTTCACCCTGTGTTTCCACTCACTTTCACTGATCCGGAGATCTACCCATGGTTTTGCAGGATCTTCCAGTTTGGGTGGAATTTGCGCTCCATTGGGAAGAAGGATAGTGTTAGTGTTGTTCTTCATTGTGGTCCTCGGTCCCTTACTTTTAAAGGCAGTCTTTTTGAAGGCATTCATAGATTCATCGTCGTTCACATACTCAGACTCATGGGCTGACAAAGAGCAAGATGCCCCGCAGTCTTGCTCTTGATCGTCATCAAAAGAAGATTCATCCACGAGGGTCTTCTCGTCAGCCTCAAGCAGATCGTGTGCTGCAAGACGGTTGCTGCCTGGAAACCGTTTGCGGCTGGTGGTCTTTTTGCCACTTGATCCACCCGGGAGGTTTTGTGCCTCCAGCTTGACTAAGTCCCGCATAAGGGTAAGCCAATCTGTATATGCGCTGAGTCTGAGCCCGAGGCGATCTTTTAGAGTAGAGGGGACCGTACCTTTTATCACATCCAAACAAGACTGCGCAGTCATCTCCAGATCCACAGTAGCAAAGAGTTTACTAACATACTGCTGCAGGCTATGCATGGTGCCAGTCCACTTGCTGTGCTTGAGCTTGTCAAGCTTAAGTCTAGCTTTGGCTGCAGCATGTGGATCAACATACTGTTTGATCAAGAGCTCTTCGAGTGTGGCGGTAGGTGTAGCCTTCAGCCATTTGTTCAGGTCTATTCTCTTATAGCCTGATTGGGCAGCTTGGGTTTCCAGGAAACCCCTCACGATGGGCTCCACATTAGTCCCTAGGATAGACGACTGGGTTGACGGGGGTGTCCCCAACACATCAAAGTAGGATCGCATGGAGCTGATCCAAGACTCGATATCGTCCTTTTCGTCATACTTGGACGGAATCTGCGCCGCCTTCCTATCGATGTAGGCAAAGCTGCCGCTAAGACCAGCCATTGTCTGGTCCGAACTCGGGACTGCAACAATTTCAGAATTCCCTGCACTGCCACTTGCCGCTGCAGCAGCAGTAGCAGCAGCGGCGGGGTCTGGACCTGCTGCAGATCCGGATTGGTTGTTAATCACACTCAAAGACGAAGAAGAAGTAGAAGAAGACACATCTAGAGGGGCAAAAACAGACTGACACGCAGCACTAGAAGCAGGGTAGGTAGATGGAAGGATGCTTTGAGTTGGCTGCACATTAGTAAACTGTTGCAGCTGGTCATGGTGTTGCTGCGCCATCAGGGCCATGTCCTCGCGCAACTTATTAAGCTCGTCGAACACTTTGGCGAGTTGGCCAGTGTGGTCCTCAACAGTCCGGACGTCTACCAAAGCCCGGAGGAGTGGAATGGTTTTCTTTTCCACCTCCTCATCAGTTAGGGCAGACAAGGTACATAAAAGGGCTTCATGAGCCTTTACCTTCTCCTCCCTCTCCTTCTCTTTCTCTTCCTCCTCCCTCTTCAATGCTTTCTCATAGAAGAATCGGTACTGCGCTTTCTCTGCCTCTGGGGCAGCGTCTATTTGCAGCTTCCAATCTGCTGCAGATGCCATGATGGAGGATGAGGGAGTCAATAAGTCTCTCAAGAGGGGTCCGTACTTCCTCACTTGTCTGGGACGAACACGCCTCTTCCCTCTCCTCACTCCCTCAAGAGCAACACTCAAAAGCTTTTTTCTTCTCTCTCTCTCTCTCGTTTGCGACCGTGTAGGCGCAGGCATTAATGAACCCAATGAAAAAAAACAACTTGAAATCAGTCAGAAGAGAAGGTAGAACTCCTTGCCGGAGCGGCAATTCATTTGGATTGGAGAGAAGTCATTAAAACAAAAAAAGAAGATCAGAGAGATCTGATCCAGCCACACAGTCTGGACTGACTACGTATGGGGTCCTCCCAAGCCTAGCCGGCCTCAGCTCCGTGAAAACACAGCAAATCAGATTCAAGATGTACAGCGAAATGCAAGAGAGAATTGAGTGGTGTCCAAGGTGCGAGTCAGGCGGCGGATCGTGCGGTAAAGTCTGATAAAACGTCCCAGCGGAGATCCCCTCCGCAACGAGTGTCTTGGTCCGAAAGCATAAAGTCCGAGTCCCAATCAGATAGAGCAAGGTAACTGACGTCAACATATTTGGCCTGAGGGACCCTTCTTGTTTGGGTCTGGTCCCACTAAGTCCCAAACGGTCCCAGTGGAGTCAGAACCGGGTCCCAACCAACAAGAGTTCCACAAAGACCTACTCTGTCCCTACCAAATTGAAAAATGAAATTTTGCCCCAGAAAGAACCTGTAGACTACAGCCGTTCAGAATGAAATAAACAAAGCACAGTAGAGAGATATCACATGGCAAGCAAGATACTCCATCCATTCACTCGTCAGGTAAGTAGGCAGTTAACACACCTCACATACAATCAAGACTATGGAGGATGGAAGAAGAACCTAGAGAACCCCAACAGGCAGTCAATTCAATGCACACACACATGGGCACCCTGGTGGCACGACACTTACCTGAGTGGCCGGGCTCTTGAGATTAAAAAAACTCACCCCCCTCTCACATTGTCCTCCTGACCCAATTAGCATCCTCTACACTATTGTCCTATCATCCAGGAGGGACAACATCTACCCCAATGTACAAGGCCGGATCCCCCGTCGATGTTGAAGATCAAAACAGCAACTTGCAGTCCGTAGGTGCAGATATGGCTGCCACCCTCAAGCTCGCCTACAACTCTCAAATTGCATCACGAAGTCCCACCTTGTGTCTCGCCACCACAATCACGCACTCACACAACCTGGCCGGGTCTAGTGTCGACCCTACATGGCCCTGCCAGGTGGGAGCAACTTCCTTTTACCACGTTGCCCCACTTAACCCTAACTTCCAGCCCTAACCCTAAGTGGTTAGCCCTTACCACTAGGGTTAGGGTTATGGCAGCAAAGTCAACTCTCGCCAGCAAGTAGAATCCGCTCCGATACCAATGTTACGATCCTAGCCAATTTCGAAGTATACATTCATCTGAAAGTACAATGCCATCCAATTGCAAAAAGAAATGAATGAACTTGAGAGGAAAGAGAGGGAAAGAAGAAGAAGAAGCAATGAGAAAGAAGAAGATGATGATGTACTTCAGCATAGACCAATGTAAAGGTTTTTTTTCTTCGCCAACCAATCTCTTCCTCCTTAGCTCCTCCCTCTTATTCAAATAAGAAATAACAATAATAATGTTGAATGATTGAACCAGAATCCATGTCTGAATCCCACTCCTACTGCAGGCACAACATGAGGTCCACCATAGCCATGGCCACGCTTCTTCTTCCTCTACATACAGGCCGAGGCTATGGTGGATTGCTGAGGCTTCAGCCTCCTGTCCAAAGGACAACAAAAAGCAGCTATGCCGCTGCCCTACTCCAAGGTCATCACCATGCAGCTATGGCGCTGTCCACTCAGCCACCATGCCTGACTTTGTCCCGAGCTTCCTTGATGCGGCACTACCCCCACTGGGGCCTTCCTGATGCAGCGCCTAGCAAGGAGATGAAGATGGTGTCTACCATAGCCAGTNATGCAGCGCCTAGCAAGGAGATGAAGATGGTGTCTACCATAGCCAGTAAGTGCCTCGCCACTCTCCCCCTTGGTCCCCTTCTCCCTCCTCCTCCTACCGGTGTAGGGGTCGTTCCCTGAAGGACTTTCGAGCCTTAGTCGACCCCACTGCGGGTCCCATTTGGCTCGACCCGCCCACGCTCATGCTCAGGGCGCGGGTCGTTCGTCCCTGGGGCACCCCCACCTAGTGCTTTGAGATGGATGGGGATGGGCCATTTGCGAGAGGGTTTTACATTGGGGGATGTAGCTCTGCTCTCGCGATAGATGGTAGCTCTTTGGTCACTCATGGCATTTTCTTGATTCATTTAAGTGTGATCAGGCAATTGCTCCTTCCAATACACAAGCAGTCCAGGGAGTTCATTGAGATTTTGTCTTCTTTCGTGTGTAGGCCAAGCGTCATCCATTGGGCCACACACCTTTTCACTAAGCACGACAATCTCTACAACATCATCGGGGTGCGGTCGCGCCGTCCATGCCCCTCGCCCCTATATTTTTTTTTGCTTAAGACACTAGCATTGCATTCGCCTATTCATGGTCGCCCTTAGTCTTTTCGGGCCTTAGCCTTGCACACAAGAGAGTCACCCCACTCATTCATCATACAATGTCACACCCCTTGGTCTATCATGCGCCCAAACTTTCAACCATAAAGTCCTTCCCACATCCGTAGTCCAAGCGAGGCTCATGTCCTTCCCTTGTCGGTTTTCCCCATTTCTGCCCGCGTCCGGCGGGTCCAGTCCCGCTCAAGACCATACTAAGCTACTCACCTGCGCAAGACCACACAAGACAAAGACCAAATACAATCCCCGTTGGGGTCAACACATCGCCCTTCCGACAAGCCTAAGTTATTTTCTCTTCCCCTTCCCTCAAGCAAGCCATGCCTCTTCTTTAGTCATGCAGTCGGGGAAAATGGTTGAGTCAAACTAACCTTGTCACAAAACTTCACTCTTTTCCGCTTTTCCAGATGCTCACAAAAGTCCGGTGCTTTTTCCTTCTTGGTGGCACAAGGGACCGGCAACCCTCCCCTTGCCCTCGCTTTCCACCAAGTGAGGATCAAGTTCTTTGTCGTTCGTTCCCTGACAATGTAACAAGTGAGGGGGGATAGTTAGTCATGTACCAAGGAGGGGAAGGGAGAGAGGGGTAAAGAGTTAGGTGCATGGGGAAGGAAGGAAGAAGGGATAAGGAAGAAAGAGAGAGAGAGAGAATGGGGGGGAGAGAGAGAGAGAGAGAGAGAGAGAGAGAGAGAGAGAGAGAGAGAGAGAGAGAGAGAGAGAGAGAGAGAGAGAAGGAAGAGGAAAGAGAGAGATGGAGAAGGAGAGAGGGAGATACTTCTTCCGTCCTAATCGACCTTGCTCCTTGACCTACCCTAACCGACCATACCTAAGGTCCCTTGCGCCCCTTTGGCCCCCTCCCTATGTCCCTTGAATGGATGAGGGTGTCGGAGGAGGAAGAAGGTGTGAGGTGGTCGGCTATGGTGGATGGGTGTAGGTGAGGGAGGAGGAAGAAGGTGTGAGGTGGTCGGCTATGGTGGATGG